GGAGTGGCATATGCCCATCCTGGATATAGTCTTGGCGCCGAGATTCAAGAGATGAATTACAGTAGGGAAAATGGACGCCGCAACAGCCGGGGCAGAGGTATAAGGAGAGATAATTATAATCGAATACTTAATCCGACTAACGAAGTCCAGTCAGGATACATCGGCGATCAGACGCAATATCAGATACCGATCATGTACATCTATCCTGATCATTCTGTCTCTACACAACAACATCAAGTAGCTACCGGACAGGTCTATTTCACACAACCAATGTATTCAACGATTCCTCATCCGCATCCAAATGCGCAATCAGTTTCAGCCAATTCGCATGCACATGCGACTTATCCTCAACCGAATCATCAAGCACCGCAGATAAACAGATCCGTACGGCAATCAGTACCAACCCAACAACCAAACCAAGAACCCACGAAAGAGCCTGTCGTTCCATTTCAAAAATATGTGCAAAGCACTCCTGATACATCAACGCATCAAGTAAATGAAGATAACTCCTCGCCAAGTAACGTCGCTCCTACCGTTATTGTAAATAATCCTACGTTAGAGTCCCCTGTGAAAAACGTAAATGAAAACACTGCCGATAGAAAAAATGTGACTAGTAATGAAAAGGTTGATGCAAAGCTCCAAAACAATATTGTATGGACCGTAAATGAGAATTGTAATGGCACGGAAAAAGCTGATGTGCCATCTGTAATAAATACTAACATTGATATCAAGATAAACCAAAATAATGAAGCGGACAAGAAGTTTAAAAATGAAACTGTACCCAATATCACAACGAATGCCATCAAAACTTCGCCTAAACCTAGCTCTATCAAAACAGAAAAAAATGAAACGCAAATTGAGGAAAATATTGCATTAAAAGATTCCCAAGATAAGACTATTATTAAATCGCCAAACAACTCCTCTGCTATGCCAAATAACTCTTTAACCACACCAAGTACTTCATTATCATCTATACCTGAAACACCACCTGCCGCTCCAACCATCAGATCCTTTGCTAGTCTTTTTAAGAAAGACAGTACATCAGAGACACATACTTCGTGTAAACCTACAGAACATATAATTTGTCAAAATGAATCACCAAAAATCTTGGTCCAAAAAGAATCAACTAGTCCTGTTCGTACTCCAGAGAATCAAAATAATTCATCTAGCACACCAACTCTGCAAAATGGCATACTACAGAATTGTTATGACGATCCTAATACATACAGGATAGGTGGTAAGTACAAAAAGCGATCCAATCTTTTAAAATAATAAATTGTTGAGATCTAAATATGTATATCATTAAATACAAATTTCTTAAATAAATATTAATTGTGTCTAGAATTTTTGTCGGGTTATCAAATGGACAAGCAAACAGTGAGTTTATTACCGAGGGGATTAACAAATCGCAGCAATTACTGTTATATCAATAGTATCTTACAAGCTTTACTGGCTTGTCCACCATTTTACAATCTTCTCACAGCTTTGCCACTTCCTAAAAACCGAGGCAGAAATTCTGCTACGCCTTTGATTGATAACATGTAAGTAATTATACAGTAATATTTAAAATATACTTAATATAATATAATATTTTTCTGTAGATCTTATAAAAATTATGTTCATATTTACAATTTTTTTATTTTGCTAAAAGGGTCAAGTTTGTTCGTGAGTTTACACCCTTGACAGAGGCCGCTCGTATGCCCAGGAAAGATAGAGTTAAACGAGGAGAAGATACTGTCATGGACATATATAGCGGCGTTGCATTTGAACCAGCATATGTATATACAATGTTAAAACATACCTCGGCTTCTTGTGCTTTTTCTGTGGAAGGACGACAGGAAGATGCGGAAGAATTCTTATCATGTCTTTTAAATGGAATCAATGACGAAATGTTGGATGTATGTATATACACATTCTATTTATTATAAAAATATAAACCAATATTTATTTCTTAAAAAATTTAGATAACTACTAAAAAAAAATTAGACAATTAATTTTTCGCAGGTGACAAAATTAATCAACAACGATCAAAATGCAATCGGTAATGCGAAAAATATCAGCAATGATCATGATGAGGAAGAGTGGCAGGTAAGATATTTGAACAATATATTTAAAAAGTTATTAATGTATAAATATTTCAAGTTTATTACAATATCAAAATTTATTAAAAAAAACAATATCATTTGTTTTATTCTATTTTTAAATTAGAATCACATTTATTTATATTTTTTTACATTACATTATTTGTTCCTATTGTTTAATATAGGTAATGGGACCAAAAAATAAAGGTGCTGTCACGCGGTGTACAGAATTCGGAAGAACACCGATATCTGATATTTTCCGCGGACAATTACGATCCAGAGTGTCAAGAGCAGGAGAACAGCCAACGGATAATGTACAACCGTTTTTCACATTGCAGTTAGATGTTCAAGTTAGTACTAAGACTTTGAGAATAAATTAAATTATAATACAAAATTTTTTATAACTAATACAATATAATGTATTACAGAAAGCCGAATCCGTAAAACACGCTCTTGAGATTCTCGTCGGTAAAGATCAGGTAGAAGGATTGACCTGCAGTAAGACGAGACAACAAATAGAGGCTTGGAAACAAGTCACTTTAGAGGAATTACCCGTCATCCTCATATTACATCTAAAATGGTTCGTGTATAAGTTCGATAAGTATTCCAATGGCTGCTCCAAAATATTAAAGACTATGGAATTCCCCATCGACTTGAAAATTGATGGAAGTAAGTATACTGAATAGTTTCAATCCATCTTGCCCTACTCTAATTTCTATGAGGCAAGCGTAATGTGAAAATTATTTTTGTAGAATTTTTATCACCGAACACCGCGAAAAAATTAGGACCCAAACAAAAACAATACAAATTATTCGCGGTGACATATCACGACGGGAAGGAAGCCACCAAGGGACATTACTTCACCGACGCCTTCCACGTAGGATATGGATGCTGGGTTAGGTATGACGACAGCACGGTGAAGAGTGTTACAGAGAGTAACGTACTGAGGCCCACATCACCTAGGGTACCTTATTTACTCTATTACCGAAGATGTGACACGATTGGAAATAACCAATCAAGTAGTGCGAAAGCACATTGAAAAATTTTGTATAGAAAACTTACATATGTATAGAAAAAAAAAACTATGTTCCATTTGAGATGGAACGAAAAAAAAATTCTTTTTACAATTTCAAAGTTCTTGTTGATATTTATAAGTAAATAGAAATCTATATAAATAAAGAGAGCTTTTATATTATCTACAATAGCGTGGAAAGTAGAAATATATTAAACCCGCTGTACTTCCATGAAATACTTCTATTAAGATTGTTATTACACGTTGTATACATAGTTCCCGCCCCTTAAAAATCATGAAATAAACGTAGGTAATGTTAAGGCTCGTCAAGTGTTCCAATCTGGGTTCACGTTTTCTAGTGAATCTAAAAAACGTTATATATTAAATGCTTTACACGTTGCAGTTTGTGAGATATTAGAGCGTCTTGTGTGTGTACATATAATTTTTCTTTCTGAGTAAGATTACTGTAAATGTTACTGGTTTTCCAATTTCTTTAAGAAGACAAACAAAAGTGTGAAAAAGATTTTGAAGTTTGTGACAATGTGTGTATAAAGTATAGAAATAGATATTACATGTAGTTTATTTTTTTATATAATCCTCCTGTACAGTGGAAATCAATTTCAACTTTTGCCAGTCATTCTTAAATATATATTACAATTTTTATATTTAAAAATATGTTTTACGTATATATGTATATATATTTAATATAAATATACATGCATATATTACACATATGTTTAATATAAATATGTGTACATATATATATTATACATACATATATATATATATATATATATATATTTCCAAATCATGTAGAACAAATCATGCACACGTATTCTACTTGACAAAATCTTTGTATGGATTTCTTTTTTTATGAAATATATTTAAATCAATTTTTATCAAATATATTTAAAGATATTGTTTATATTTAAATCATTTTAATATTGAGAAGACTGGCAAGATCAAAAACTGTAAAAGACTTAACAGGAAGATTGTATGTACAATTATTAAACATTTTGTATTTAATCTTTCCTGGATATGCAATACCGTTTCATAATAACTCTTAAATACCGTTTCATAATAACTCTTAAAACTCAAGTGTTCAACCAGGTTTGTTTATTAATTGCGTTTAAATTGTATCGTATTTTGTTATCTTATAGTCTCTGATTAACTGTATAATGTGCCCTGTACGCAAATAAAATGCCACTTATTTGCGACGTAAGTTTTATTATTAAATAACTTTGAAAAATCAGAATTATATAAGTTTAGTTCTATGTGTATATATATATGTGTGTGTGTGTGTATACACACATATATATATATATACATATTCATTATATCTAGCTTGTATGTTTGTACAATATAGATAAGAAGTAAGATATATTCTAAGTTTTGAATCTAATTATAACTTATGCATTAAACATAATACCTCTCATTTATTTCCGGTTTTGTAAATAAATATTTGAAGTTTATAACAAAAAGTAAAACTGTACATATGTTAAAATTTAATTATGATCAAGAAATATATATACATATATACATATATATTTCAAATATGTATTGAGTTTTATTCCAGGTTTCCCCCAAGTGTTTATTTGAAAATTATTATGATTTTACTAACATGTTATTGTTATACAACACTAGAAAAAGATTCTAAAATGTTGAATTCCAACACATTGCTCCTAAGCTATTCACATATTCTTCAAGAACATTAATATATATTATAATTTAAAGAATCCTTTTGTCTGTACAGCTCTTATTTTACAGAAGACTTATTAAATATTAAAACCTAATTGCTATAATTAATCCTTACAGTATTTTTTAACCTACTTAATATAGTACTACTAATAATATATCTACTTAATATAGTAGAGTTTAATACAATCTCCACATTAAAGCTTTATAAAATTGTTATTATAAGATGAAAAAGATTCTATGTATCATGAATATAAACGATACTGAATAATATTAGTGTAAATGTCAGTAGAAGATAATTAACAAGTATTTCTGCTATGGAACAATGCTAAAAATGTGGTAGACAAACTTTGCCTGCAAAAAGCTCAGAGATTACTGTGATCCATAGTGCCAAAACGAACAAGATGTAAGCAATCCCAACTTGATGTGAATTAGGCAACTGATATGGTTGCCCGCCAATCTCATTAATATGAAATCCCATTGGAAATATAACTGCTGCGTTACAAAACAGTATCACTGCAATTTAATGTCATTTAGTATACAACACAATACATCGTAACCACGCATAAATTTTGCATTAATAATTTGTCATCCAAGATTCTCAAATATAACAACTATATTATAGAGTGATGCTTTTATAATTTAATTATTTTATGTGTGACTTTGTATAAATACTATAATTACTCTGTACATGTATTACTTGTACATTTTATTATACTAAATATTGTATTTTTCTGATACGTACTGGCACTGAATCCTACCCAGCGTGCAAATGGAATGACGGTACGGTCCCAATGCGAAAGTATCAATAATATTACGGTTGCTGTGATTAGAATGCAACCAATAAATATGCAGACTAGTGCCATCATCCATTCTGACTCCAGCTGCGATTTAAAACAGACCTGCGGTCTGTTGTACAAAGTCATACATGACCACATGAGACCTAATCTTGTGTCGCCTATTAGAGAAGAGAGAAAAGAAAAATACAGAATTAAAATCATGTCCTCAAACATCATAGTTTTTTCGCAATTTGCAACTTCGAATTAATTCAGAGTGACTTTAATCTTTATCTCATCGGCGTAAATAAATGACGTGTAAGGCCACAGCGAGTAAAGATAATGAGGAAAAAAGATTGCATTTCTGCAATTACCGCCGACGTCAGTAATGATCCAGTCCGGCATGGAGATGCTGATTATGGCGGAGATATCCGCGAGAAAGAAGAGTATCACCGAGATGATAGTTAACTTGTCCATTTTTCGCGCTCAGGATACTCGACAATCAAAAGTGAGATGATAGAGAGTTGGCACGTTGTTCGGAGCATAAGCTAATTGCCACCATATTTACGCGTCGTTTACTGTCAATTCGTCCATGCAACACGACTATCCTCCGGTGATCCCGGAATCGTCATCCACGGATGCACAAGTGCCATTTCTTTATTGATAGTTACTGACAATCAAACACGCAGAAGTGTCAGGAGTAAACAAGTCGATAGAGAGCGGAGATGCAGTGCGGGATGACGTTGGGATGACCATCACATGGGATGACGTTCAATTATTTAATGCCAGAGTTCGGCACGATTTGCACTTCTCGACCGTTTTTCGACTTGGCTCCGCCTTTCGCTACTCTTCTCACCTCATCACCCCGCGTGCAGTCCAAATACCGCTCGACGCTTAGGAGCGTATAACACTCGTAGACATGAGGTCCACCTGCTTTGGGACTGCTCATGCTGTAAACTTCATTCTATTTTTTTTTGTTCATATTATGAGTGCTTTCCATTTGATGACACAAGTCGACACAAACGTCGTTCTATCCTTGTTGACATTCAGAGAGTGACAAAGATATACATGGTGTCCCGACCTTTTTTGCCAATCATTTTTGTGTAGATAGAGCGGACTAAACTGAGTCGAAAAGTTCTCTACTATTTTGCAATTTTCGCAATAGTTAATAAGATATTAATTACTAAAAATTGCAAAATATTAGTCTTAAATAATTTTTTATTCAAATACTATCAACATTACAGAAAAACTGCAAGAGACAAAAATTATTTTTTCTTCTCATAAAGTTCTGAGAATTTTTTCAGAATTTTTTCAGAATTTTTTAATACCATATTTTCTCATGTTGGTAAAAATAAGAAAATGCAGTACTAAAAAGTTGATAAAAAATTCTGAAAAAATTCTCAGAACTTTATGAAAAGAAAATAAATGATTTTTGTCTCTTGTAGTTTTTCTGTAAAGTTGATAGTATTTGAATAAAAAATTATTTAAGACCAATATTTTGCAATTTTTAGTAATTATAATATCTTGTTAACTATTGCGAAAATTGCAAAATGGTAGAGGACTTTTCGACTCAGTTTAGTCCGTTCTATCTACACAAAAGTGATTGGCAAAAAAGGTCGGGACACCCTGTAGAATGACACTTGTGTCGACTTGTGTCATCAAATGGAAAGCAACCAATATAACTAAGATAGAATAGAGCAACGCGCGTAAGCGCTCAATCTTATGCGTGTTGTTTTATTCTATGTTAGCTATGTAATGAACGAAAAAAAAAATAGAATAAAGTTTACAGCGTGAGCGTCCAAAGCGGATGGAGCTCATGTCTATGTTATACGCTCCTGAGCGTCAAATGGCATTTGGACTGCACGCGAGGTGATAGGTGAAAAAAGTAGCGAAGGCGGAGCCGAGTCGAAAATCGGCCGAAAAGTGCAAATCGTGCCGAGCAATTAATCAAATAAAGTCGAGAATTCGATTCCTTGTCTCATTTGAAAATCGATTATTTTCGAATCTTTTTATAATTTATCCACACACACACATATTATACATACGTAGTAACTAATGGATTTTATACCATTTAAAGTAATAATAGGATGTAAGATCCAATATACATTTTGTCAAGAAATAGAAGAATTTTATCTTGTAATTATTTTAAAATTGTGTTCAAAGTTTTGCATCATTTAATTTTGATATAATAAATTATACAAAAAATAATTCTAATAATTTACAAAATGCAAAGAGATATGTTGATATGAAGGAAAATTATCCCTTTCGGATCTTACATCATTCATATGAATTTCTCATCTCCTTTGAGATGATATTTAGTAACGAATCATTCAAATCGTTAAAAATACGTGTATGAGCCTTGAATTTTATCGGGCCCTGAATTTAATCGCTTTAGTAATAATTTTCAGTTTATTTTTAAATTGAAATTTTGTTGTTTATATTAAGACATTTAATCTAATTTCATAATACTCGACACTCTTGAAATCGAACACTAATTTCGACACTCTTGAAATCAAAACGTTGACCCATTTTTTAAAATTTAAATTTGTTTTTAGTTGAATATTTATACTTTTAATTTCAAATAAACGCGAATAGAGAATAAACGCGAAATTTATTCCTGTATTAATGGAATTATTATTATTATTTATTGTTCATATTAATATTTAGTTTTTAAATTTCATTAATATGGTGGCCTCTTAGCGACGCGTTCGTGTTTCGCGCATATCTTACGAAAACGTAAAACCTTACGCTTATTACCAGCGATGTTAGTCGGCAGCAAAAAGGAGTATTTCTCCTTGTTGTCGATTTCTGCCATATGAAGCCAGAATATTGGCCAGGAGCAAATGAAAGGTGAGTTCAATCTGGCTAGAAGAAAGAAGAGAAGATCTATATACGAAGTAAGTTGGTGTGTAGCACCAATTTAAGTTTCTAAAAAGTATATGTATAAAGATAAATTGTGAATATATATTTGGGAGAGTAACTTGCTTGCAAATTGCGCGAGTTATATTTTTTGAATTATTTAAAATTGTTTATTTAAAATACAAAAATAACCAACTAACAACAGAGCTAATTAGAGCCAGTACGGATAATCAATCGCATGGTTTTTAGATTTTTTCTTAGCTTTTTTTAGATTTGTTTATATAGGTCTATTCTTTTAGCTGATTTGGAGTTGGTTCATCTTTTTTTTTCTCTAACAAGAAAAAAACAGAAAAAATGAATCGTCATAAATTCAGCTAAAAATAATAGGTCTAGGCTTTTTTTGCGGTGTTCAATTTTATTTACAAGTTGTATGATTTTATTTTATGTTACGTTTTACTTATACAAAATTTTATATTGTATTTTATTTACACAATATAATATTTTATTGAACATATTCTGTAATTAATAAATGAAGAATATAGTAAAAGAACTAAATAAAGATAAAGATTTATACATTGAGACATGTAGCTTAAAATTATAAAAAAAAACAGTATCGAAAAACTAATTATGTAATTGTCAAATATCTATCGTGGAATTACGAACGAAAGTTTTTGCAGCATGATGATAAACTGATAAATGCAACATTTGTAGGAAAAGGAAAGGTAATCTATATTTGTAATCAATAAACATCAACAAGGATGATCAATTAACAAATTATTTTGGAAGTTTTCAATATATATAATCGATTATAAAAAGTTCGTGCTATTTACAAATTAGATATAATACAGAAAAAGTCCACATGGAAACAAGTGAGTACAGACGGAAATATCTAATAAGGGAGACACTATCACAGTTAAAACGTGCTAGAGTATACAGAATAATTCCGGCGTTTAAACTTTTTGCAGTTCGGCTCGGTTTGGACACAACCAGTTTGTTCATTACCTGCAATACAAACAATCTAATCATTTCAAAACTTCTCATTAAGAATTCTCTATATTCTACACATTGTTTTATTAACAAAGTTACAAGTTATTTTGTAATAACGTTACTTACTGTCGTCCATCGAAGTGGAATCTGCAATTTCTGTGGTGGTTTCTGTGTTCGAGCTATTAGCTGTTCCATCCAAGGTGCTTTTACTCGTATCTCCGTTATCCGAATCATCGCCATCACTCTTAGAAGAAAAGTTCGTCGGTGAGTTGTCGACGAAATACTTGTGTGTTGAATTCTCCTCGAAGGTGGAACTGAATACGCTTTCCTCGTCGAATGAGATATCCATGGATTCTGGCGTGTACTCGCTGGATGTCTCCATCGACAATTCACTTGATCTACTGTTATCCATCGTAGTGTTTGTGATAATCTGTAGTAGAGCAGAAGGATCATCGATACCTAACATTCCGCAGAATCGGGTAGTCTGATCGTTTATCAGCAATCGTGGCCATTCGATTTGAGTATTCATGTCACACGGGTCATATGGTTTGACAGTTTGAGTGAAGTTGAGTGGAATTTGCAGATTGGAGCCAAACTTTTCATACACGGTCTGTTTCTCCTTTGCCGTAGGTGTGTACGTCCATCTGCTGCCACCGTACTGACCGGGCATATAATGGATATTGCTCTTGATACTCAACAGATGATTTGTCAAATAAAGTATCGTCAACCATTCTAGATCGTAGTTCAATTGTATCGGACCGTCTTCCTGCGAACGCACCTCCAGCACTTGAAGGAATTTCCGTTTCGGCAGACATTTGTCCAGCGCTAAAAACTTTGTCACTCGTGCTCCTCCCTTCTCGGGAACAAGTGCTGCGAATTTGCAATGCAAATGCGCGGAGAACCAGTAGGACGGATAAAGACGTTCTAGCAGTTCCATACATGGAGGACTGCCAAGCGTATTGCTTTCTATATCATCCCTAAAATAACAAATTGTAATTAATATTGAATTTTAACCGTTGAAATATGTCTATCGAATTTCAATAGAATTTTGTATTAACGTTAAATCTTGTCATTGAAAACTTACTTAAAAAATGGTTTTCGTTTTAGTAATATATCTTCATCTCCATATTTTGTTACTCCTGCCGGCCAATCATGTGATAAAAAAATATCAATTTTGCCAGAAAGCTAAAACCAAAAAATCTATATGTAATTTTCCAACTATCTAAGAACATTCATGATTTTATCTGAAATTGTATGATTAGCTGGAGAAGTATAGAAATATATAATTTTTATACAATTAATCAATGTGTATGATAGCTAATACCTACCTGTTTTAGTCTAAACACTTCTAGATTCCTGATATGATAAACACTTCGTATAGTACTATCAGTATAGGGAGGTTTCTCATAACGTCCCTGCATCCAATGTCGACTCTTGTATATACCTGAAAGTCCTGCAATTCTGATTCCAGCTACTTGTATTACACCTGCGTATCCAAGATAATAAATATTAGGTGCGACCCATCCGCCATATGGCAATTCCTGCAGATAATTTGATGCTTCATGATTGCCTCCGATAAAAATGGTTAATATAGGAGCTTTCTTCTCACCAGAATAATATCTGCAATGTAACATCAACATTAAAAATATGTTATTTTCTTATTAAATATTATTAAATATACAAATATCTTATCTGAATAACCAAGTAAAAAATCTGTTAAAATAAATTTTGCTAAATATCCACTTTATCAGTAGAATGCCAGCAAAAGTAATGAAATATAATAGCAGAATAACTGTAAAAACCAAGCATAATCTACCATTTTGTAATTATTTAAACATTTTAAACATTTGATATGTTCTATTTAATATAAGATTAATTCTATTTGATTTCTATTGACAATCTGCTTACTTTAGCATTCTGCCAACAAGATGATAAATGACAAATTTGAGATATTGTTATTATTATTATTTACGACAAATTTGTCAATCTATTGAGCTTGTTTGGCTGTAAGATAGATTCTAGAATCTTTCTGTTCCATATCCAACTAACACGCTTGAAACTAACAGATACAATTGATGTCATTCTGCTGCAATATGTTGTTCTACTGGCAGATTGCTAGCATACTGCCAACTATTTGCTTTTTAAGTAATGCTATGAACAGCATAAAAACTACATTTAGCTTAAACAACTCGTCTTGCTTAAACAATACTCACTTGTAAAATGTACACATATCCTTGTACTTGTCCGATATTGCCATACATTTTAGATCACTTAAATTTCTGGTAGCTTGAAAATCGCCGCAGCAAATAAGCAGATCTATCTTCCTCCCATCGATTTTTTCGATTTCCTGTATAGTCTCGTAAATAATGTCCAGTTCGCCATGAGCGCAACCCTCCACAGCGATCCTCATTTTCGAAACCCAATCGTAAAATTAAGATTTACACGATCTTTCGATTAATGTCATATACGTTTTTCTCAAACGGTACAGCTATGAATACGATGGCCAGAAAATCACCTGTAACGCCTGTAAACAACCTCATACACATACATCGGCATATACACTTTAAACTTAACCTCACACGAGAATACAACCACAGCCTACTCCACGACCATTGTAACATAGATTGGAAACAATACCGATCTCGCGACACCGTTAATATTTCCAAAAGAGTAGGAGTAGAAGATGATTGGCTGCAGAAAAATTATTATTTTAATTGCATGTCGGAACGCATCATTATTTTAAAATGTGTGAATTAAGGTTTTGGAGCCACAGGCAGTTATATTACAAGTTACATAAAAATACACTGGAACCTTATTATTTTGATTGATGCAGCCAGTTGTTTACAGGCGTTACAGGTGATTTTCTGGCCATCGTATTCATAGCTGTACGTTTGAGAAAAATGTATATGGCAAAATTTTCATGTCATCCTTGTTTAACGTTCGGTAAATAACAGGGGCTCTATTCTTGAAAAGAAACGTATACGAAAATCTAAGGAAATGCTACAGTATACGTAACGTATACTATAGTATTTCCCTAGATTTTCGTATACGTTTCTTTTCAAGAATAGAGCCCCAGGAATGAAGCGACCAATTTGCCACATCATGGCGAACGTTTGTCTAAGGGCTGATTGTTCCACATTTTGGTAAATTTTACCTATTGGGTAAGTAGCAAGATTACCCAATCACATGCGCTGATTACCAGATTTACCTCACAAGTCACAGGTAAAATTTACCAAAAGGTGGAACAACTGGCCCTAAGCCCGGATCCTCATACAGGCAACAGCGCTTTGACACAGAGCGCTAATTGGTGAAAAGCCGGTTGTGGGGGTAAAATTTACCCTCATCATCCGTTTTTCACCAATCAGCGTTCGGTGTCAAAGCGCTGTTGCCCGTATGAGGATCCGGGTTAAGGCACTATAATATGAGTATTCGCATCCGCCATTTTTAGTCCTTTTCTCACTCTCTTGTTCCTTTCCTCAATCCCTTGCTCTCTCTCTCTCTCTTTCTTTTTCCACTCCGCTGCTAAACTAAAGGCGTGTTCCGTTATACACTTGCCAGTGCTAAAAATCTAAGGGGCTCCGCACAATAAAAGGAACAGGGAACAGAGAACAGAGAATAAGAATTTCGACCTATCAAAAATCATATATTGTGGAAATAGACACTGTGTATACGTAACGTAAACTATAGATTTTCAGTACTGGCAGTGCATATCGGAATATGGCCTAAAGCCTTGTGTCCACGATGCTAGAAATCGGTCCATTCGACCTATCAAAAATCATATATTGTGGAAATAGACACTGTGTATACGTAACGTAAACTATAGAGTTTCAGTACTGGCAATGCATATCGGAATATGGCCTAAAGCCTTGTGTCCACGATGCTAGAAATCGGTCCAAGACCTCGGATGAAGAAAGAATTGACCAATCGCAATGGTCATGTGATCAAATTGTTCAAATGTGATTTGTTAATTTTTTCTCTGTCCGAGATCTCGGACCGATTTCTAGCATCGTGGACACAAGGCTTAAGAAGATTGAAGAGAGAACAAAGGGTGATGAAGGGACTAAAAATGGCGGATGCGAATACCTTTATTATAGTGCTCTAGTTTGTCAAACTCTTCCTTGAGAAGCTCTATATATCACATAGGCACTGTGTTCCAAAATTTACTGCCAGTACTGGAAATTTATAGTTTATGTCACGTACAGTAAATTAAATTTTTTATTTAGTTTACGTCACGTAAAGTAAATTTTTAAACAGCCATAATAGTATACAAATATATTGATTTAACGTGTTTTAATACTTAAAAAAATGCCAGGGGTAAGAAAAATATATCGATAAAAAGTCCCTTGATTAAAATCCTGATAATCAAAATTTACGATTCACGATGTGAACATATTACTTTTACAATCTTCTATTTTCAAGAAAAATAAAAGACAAAAATAGAGATAAAAAGAGTAAAAAGAGAAAAAAAGGGAAAAAATATGTTGGTTTAAAAGATAATTTAAAATGAAATCTAATTTAAAATGAAATAAAATGTGATAATCCAAAATTATATGTGAGATTATTATCTTCTTTTCTACATAAATTTTATTTTTAATATTTTGTCTAAATAATCAGAAATAAATACTTTTCAGAATATTATTAGAGAATAAATCCTGCTTTTATTTTTTGCTCTGTTTAAATATTACATTCACATTTTATATAAGCGTGTCAATGTACTTACATCTAAGACTGCACAATTTTTTTTATAACTTTTGTGTTCATTAAAGTAATATTTTTTTCAATATGTATCTTGATGTGTACAAAAATCTCAAATTTCTTTAATCCATTGTATTACTATTATTGATATGATTCAATGAAATTCTGATTGATCATGGAATGAATACAAGAAAAAGTCATTCTACATTCTTAATGACCAAATACTAAAATACATGTGATAATAATTATTTAATTATAAAATGTGATTATTCAATTTGCAAAAATAAATTTTATGTTTTACGTTTACTATTTAAAGTTTATAAGCAAGATATATTAAAAATATATAAATGTTAAAATATATTGTACATTTTGCGTGATGTCATATAACTTTATAATTAAACTTATAGTTTGTTTCTTTTTAAGAATATTTAAGTCAAATCTATCACAATTACTTTACAAAAATTCTTCACACCAATCAGTAAGACACTGATAACAATCTGTTGACTGTTTTGCATTCGCTGAACAAGCATCCTTCATCCATTCTTGAAACAGCTCCTTATTCTTCTTTAACACTAAGTACTGTCCCAGGACCACATATGCCTATTAATAAAATTCATTATTAACTCATTATTAATTTATATTCAAAAGGACTAATAAAAAATCATGTAATTATATTGTCATCTTTTATCACAATTATAAATGTGAAAACGCTCTTTTAATTATAATATAAACTATTACAAACTTTAATTAAATTTTTATTAGATTAATTAACCCAACAGAAACATTTATAGCAAAAGTATCAATTATATAATTTATAATATAACAAAATACTGCTACTTGATAAGATATGATTAAATTAGAATTTGTTTGCGAGTCATGCTAAGAATGATTGAGATACATTCAACTAAAATTATAAATGTAAAGAAGTATTTACCTTATCAAAGCCTGCAGCCTCTAATCTTTTTCCTAGCACCTCTCCGACACCAGCTAATTCGGTCACAGGCTTGTCTCCCATCGGCTCAGCCACGAAGTTCCTGTGCTTCTGTGATGTAGTAGACATTTTGACCTGTAAAAGCAGAAACTTTTATTTTCTTTTCTAATACATCATTAGAATATACAAAGCTTATTTATATATCAAGCAAAATGTTTAATCTGTGATAAGAAACTATACTATATAAAAAATTCATTACTAATTTACTGCACTGTTTTAGCATTATAACCTTAATGTAATAAACGTAATAAAATCGTTGAACTACAGGTACTGTTCAATAAGATATAAGTAATTTACGAAAGTATTTTGTATAAAACTCAGAGACAAACGGCAGATAAGCTGGGAGATATAAACAGATATGAACAAAATGATAAACTTAACAAACCAATAAAATAAATACGAAAGGGACTACCTGTGATTGGTTTGTGAGATTGCTTCTCGATTATGAACTGTTATCAGTTATGATGGTCAATGATGGTTATGAACTGCGACCGTCGAAACGTGAAACAAGTATTAGGAATGCCAAAAAATTCAAAATTTGAACATAAATGAGACGCAATTCTTCCTGTTTTGTTTAAATTTTCGATGGCCTTGATTGTCACAAGTTCAATCAGTTCAATGTAATAAAAAATCGCTTCATTCTATGTCCTACGGTCCCATTCTCATTCATCGAACGTGGAACAAATATATAAGTAGAACGAAGCGCATCAATTTTTTTTGATTCGACATCTTGAGGTCACGTGGAAGACCGGTTACACAATGGGTGCATCCAGAAGCACGACCGCTCATTGAGCGCTCATTGAGCTCTTGTATCTGATTGGCATATTCCATTAGATCGAAAAATATAGACCAAACAGATACAAGAGCTCAATGAGCGCTCAATGAGCGGTCGTGCTTCTGGATGCACCTAATGGTAGCGTTCAGCAGACTCAGCAGTTTTGCAACCGTTTTATAATTAGTCGCGCTGATTGGTTTATACTTTTAGTTTTAAAGGAATAGTCCAATCTGAGCGAAGAATCATAAAACAGTTGCAAAACTGTTGAGTCT